AAAGCGGAGCCGAACCGGGAGCGGTTGCCTGTGCGCATGCGTCAGCGATCCAAGCGGACTTGCTTCCCTCAAGTCTTCCTCTTTCTCTCTCTCTCCCTCTCTCCCTCTGTCTCTGTCTCTCTCTCCTTCTCTCTCTCCCTCTCTCTCTCCCCCCCTCTCTCTGTCTCCCTCTCTCTCTCACTTACTCTTTTCCCCAGGGTGGGGGAGGGGCCCTGGTAAGCCTAGCTTGAGCACTGGCATGCTGCTGCAAGGCCAGGCCTCTTAAGGGTCATGCTGACTGGGCAGTGGGTGCCCACCTCAGAGGCCCCTTGGCCTAACTCCTGCCCCTCCGTCCCCAGTCATGCCCAGGGCTTTGCTTTGAAGCAAGTTGGCAGCCAACTCTGCTGAGTTTCTAGCTGGCAGTACTTGGGGGAATTCAGAGAAGCTGACCAGCTTGGAGAGGGAGGTGGGGAGGTACTTTTCCCCCTCCTAGGACCCCACCCAGACTGGAGCCAGGTGTCTGGAGCTGGGGGGGAGGGGCCGGTGGGCAGTCAGGCTGGAGCCTGTGGAGCCTGGGGGGAATGGGTTGGGGGAGGGGAGCTGGCTCCACCTTGGGAGGAGGTTAGGGGAGAGCTGTCTCAGAATGGAGCAGTCTCCAGCATTTCTGGAGCTCATCTCAAGGGAGGTGCCTTTTGGAGATAAAGGGACAGGGATGTTTTGGGGTGCTTTGAGAGAAGTGGACAAGGAGACATGAGCATAAATTTGAGTAGCTAGAAGGGGAGATTTGAGGGGACTGAATGAATTGATGAAAGTGATTTAACTTAAAGGATTTGGGCATTATCTGTGGGCCTAGGTATACTGGGGGCTTGGGGGAAAAAATGAAGCTGAGAAATGTGAAATATACTCAAAAAAAAAATGAGAGGAATAAGAGAAGTGAAGCCATAGGTGTGTTGGGAGCCAAGTGCTAGCATGGTAAAGAGAAAGGGTTACCTGATCCTGATTCTAGAATGGGCCAGAAGTGTCTGAGACTGAGATCTAATAGCATTTAAAAGAGCAACCGGTAGAACAGATTTGGGGAAATATTTATGGGTAGAAGAGAATGATGGGTGAGCTAAGGAAATACTTAGAAGCCCATCCTTGGGTAAATATCAGGGGGTTATGAGAAGTGCTTTGGTACCTGAAAGATACTAAGTGGACGCTATTTAGAGGATTAATGACAGACACTGATGGTGGCGAGAATGTTTGGAGATGGTGGAAAGATACTTAAGAGATCAAGATCAGTAAATATTGGGAGTAGAGATTTTTGAAAAATTTTGGGGGTGCAAGGATCCGGTGTGAAATGTGAGGGGTCATGTAAACATTTGGAGGCTCAAGGCTCTGGTCTGGCTTCTGAGTGACCACCTGCTTCCTCCCCCCTGCATGCCCAGGTTCCGGAATGAAGACTACACAGTACACGTGCGGCTGAATGACTACCTGGACATCATCTGTCCGCATTACGAGGATGACTCTGTGGCAGAGGCTGCCATGGAGCGGTACACGCTGTACCTGGTGGAGCGTGAGCAGTACCAGCTGTGCCAGCCCCTGTCCAAGGACCAGGTCCGCTGGCAGTGCAACCAGCCCAGTGCCAGGCATGGCCCGGAGAAGCTATCTGAGAAGTTCCAGCGCTTCACACCCTTTACTCTGGGCAAGGAGTTCAAAGAGGGACACAGCTACTATTACATCTGTGAGTGCCCGGAGGCATGCACACACTGGGGGACACAGCTGGCATGATGCATACGCTTGGATCCATGCTTAGTGGGGAGTCAGGCAGCAGAGAGCCCCTTCCAATCCTGAATTCTATTCTCAGTCATTCACATTTCAAATGTGGAGTGAGCTTCTACTGTGTACTGGGCACTCTGCTTGGCACCACAGGCACAGAGATAAATAAAACACTACAGGCTCCCAGTCCTCAAGGGAGCTGGGAAGGGATACACATAGGTTAACAGACCATTAGAACAGTATGATATAGAGAACAGGAGCACAGGGGCCCTGGAAAACGACCTGGGTACCTGCCAGGCAAGGGGGGCTTAAAGAAGGCTTCCCAGGGAAGATGATCCCAGAGCTTAGGACAAGCAGAGGAGCTGGCCAGGCATGAGGGGATATGTGCAAAAGAAGCATGGCATCCTCAGGGAACTCGTTATGGTTCAGCCTGGCTGGAGTAGGAGGGACACTGGAAGTGGGGAGAGATGAGCTTGGAGAGGTGGACAGAGCAGATCATGGGGGCCTAAGAAGTGCTAAGGAGTTTGGACTTTATCCTGAGGGCAGTAGAGAGCCACTGGTGGATTTTAAGAGTTACAAGATCTGGGGCCGGTCCGGTGGCATAGGGGTTAAGTGCACGTTCTCCACTGCGGTGGCCTGGGGTTCGCAGGTTCAGATCCTGGGCACGCACCGATGCACTGCTTGTCAAGCCATGCTGTGGCGGCGTCCCATATAAAGTAGAGGAAGATGGGCATGGATGTTAGCCCAGGGCCAATCTTTCTCAGCAAAAAAGAGGAAGATTGAAATCGGATGTTAGCTCAGGGCTAATCTTCCTCACCAAAAAAAGAAAAAAAAAAAAAAGAGTTATAGGATCAGCGCTTCACACCCTTTACTTCACACCCTTTGTGTAGAATGGATCCAGGCCTCACCCATTCAGTAGGGCCTAGGCAAGGGGAGTATAAAATGGCCTAGGTAAGGGAGCATATTGTGAAGGCCTCACCTGACTTCAGGCTAGGAGGAGTGAAGGATGGACTGAGGGGAGGGGACAGTGTCTCTCTTCTTTTTACTGCCACTTCTAAAGCCAAGGGTTATTCCAAAGAATGGGAGGTTGGGCTGAACATGGGGCAGAAAGTGAGCACAAAGTAAGGAAGGTAAGAATCAAAGGTTAGAAGAGAGGGATCAAAATGAGCAGGGACTGAGAAGGCAGGACCAGAGGCATTTGTGCTTCTGTTTTCTTCCAACAAAAGTTCCTTTCTTAACACCCTGTGGGTTTATCTTGCAGCCAAACCTATCCACCACCAAGAAGACCGGTGCTTGAGATTGAAGGTGACTGTTGATGGCAAAATCAGTGAGTGTCAGGGCCCTGTGGCCTCCTTCCTCCACCTCTGTGCTGGGCCTGGTCTAGGGATCTGGGATGGTAGAGAAGTCTCACTGCCCAGCCCACCCAGCACTTGCACCCCTCTGCCTCCCGGGTACAGTACCTGATGTACGGCCACCCTTGTCTTTCAGCTCACAGTCCTCAGGCCCATGCCAATCCCCAGGAAAAGAGACTTCCAGCAGGTAGGTCACTGGAGCAAATTGGGCCTGGGGCACAAAAGCGGATCTGTTTCAGGAGGTTGGGTACAGGAGATGGCTCCTTCGCCAGGCAGGGGCTGCAGAAACCTTGTTGGGCTGAGGGCCAGTGCCAGTAGTGGGGCCGCTCACTTTGGGGGCCTTTGCCCTCTCACCTTGCAGATGACTCGGAGGTGCAGGTTCTACATAGCATTGGTCACAGTGCCGCGCCCCGCCTCTTCCCATTGGCCTGGGTTGTGCTGCTCCTGCCATTCCTGCTGCTGCAAACCCCATGAAGGTGTGAGCCACATCTGGCCTAAGGATTGGAACTGGACTGAGGAGGCAGGGGCAGGCACCCAGCACCTGCCTTGGGGCCCCTCCCAAAGCCCCAGTCCTGGGAACCACTCCCACCACATGCACAAGCTGCCACCCAGCAGCCTCAAAACGGGTCAGTATTAAGGGTTTCAACCCAAAGGAGGTCGGCAGGTCTGGCAGTGCCATCCACACCTCCACCTCAGAGGGACGGACGAAGAAGTGGGGACAGTCCTTTTCCCGCCATTTCTGCCCTTAAGCCAAAGAAACAAGCTGTGCAGACATGGCCTCTTAAGAAGGGCGCTGTGGGAGCTGAGCTGGAAGGGGCCTGGGGTCATGCGGATGGACACCGAGCTTGGCAAAGATGCCCCTCCCAGAGAGAGCCAGGATGCCCAGATGAACTGACTGAAGGAAAAGCAAGAGACAGTTTCCTGCTTGGGTGCCAGGGACAGGAGAGGCAGCATGCTTGGGCTGACCCAGCATCTCCCCCAAGGCTGTGGAGCTGCCATGGAGAGGTTTGTAGCTAGGCACTGCATCCTCTCCCATCATGGGGCAGCACTCCCCAGAGCTGTGCCAGTAGGGTGGCTATGTCAACTTAGAGTGTAGCTGAAAGGGCAATGCCTACGTGCACAGAGTCTGTGCCTAGAGTGTTGCCTGAAGGGCAGGGCCCATGTGTACAGGATCTGTATATAAACTTTCTGTGTGTCTGTTCTGATTTCTACAATTGGATTTTTTTTATACAATGTTCTCTGTCTCAAAATAAAGCAATGTGTTTGGTTTTTTTGGACATGCTTTTCTGCCCCTCCATCCTAATTTATGACCATTGAGTCCCTGCTAGGTGCTAGGCTCTGTGCCACACCAGTAGCAACTGGGTTTGAATTTTTTTTCCTCTCTGGAAAGCATACATACCCCTCACCAGCCCAAAAGGGTGAGCTGTTTCCTCCTCTGAGGGTTGTCCAGGACAGGAGTGCTCCCCAGAGTAGTCTCTCAGGTTCTAGGCTGCACCCCCACTCTGGAAGTTCTTCCTGTCCAACCTCTACCCCACTCGCACCCCCACAAGCGCTGGGCTTTGGCACACCGTTCTCAGATACTCATGCTGTCGGGTGAGTCAGGGCAGCCGCTCAGGGGAGCGCCTGCTGAAGCATGCGGCCCCGCCCACAGCCCCACCGAGACGTGTGGGAGGCTGGGAGGCAAGGTTCCCAGCAGCAAGTCGCTTGGACTAAGGGGTTAGTGATCCGCGCTTCAGTGGACTGGCCAAGTCTTGGAAAGTTGGCAGTGTGGCTGAAGGGGGTGGGCACCTGACAGATTTGGTGATTCCTGGCAATCCCTGTTTCTTAGGGGAGAGACTGGGAAGAGTCTTCAGCAAACTGGGAAAAACCTCTCAAATCCTGGGTGACTCAGGTTCTGATCTGGAGCTCTGGATGGGAAGCGTGTTGAAATCTGGTTGGGTCTAGCAAGCTTTTGTTTTGAGGTCTACCACGTAGGCTCACGGGCCTGTGGCAAAGAGTTGAGGCTGTGGGTCTAGGTGATCCAAGAGGTAAGCAGAGAGTGAGCAGCGGCGTGTGCCGGGGACAAATCGAGGAGCCCTCGCAAGGGGACCGGCCGGGATCTGGAAGGCAACCTCAGGACTAGGAATCCAGCGAGCCGGCAGCGAGTCGGCAGGGGCGGGGACAAGCGCTCGGAGGGGCGGGGCCTGAGTTCCGGCTCGACGCTCTAGGGGTGGGCAGGGTTCCGGTTCAGTTTCCGGGGGGACGGCCGAGCGCGCGGGGGCGGAGCCAGGGTCGCGGGGGGGCGGGGCTCCGGCGCAGCGGGCTCCGGCGCCCCTGGCTCCGGACCCAGCTACCGTAGGCCGGGGGATGAGCGCTGGATCCGACCTCTGGAGGCATGGAAGCGGACGGCATGACCGACTCGCTCCTTTCCGGAGCTTGCGTGCTCTTCACCCTCGGCATGTTCTCCGCAGGCCTGTGAGAGCGCGGCCCGGCTGGGCTAGGGCAGGAGCAGGAAGTCAGGAAAGGCGAGAGGGGGAACAGAGACGTGGCCGCAGCCCCGGGCTGCGTCCGAAACCTGGAGTCAAAGTGGAATCGGGTCGAGGGGCCCGGGTACAAGGGCGAGGCTGGTCACTTGACCTGAGGGAGAAAGCAAGGGAGCTGAGGGCGGGGCTGGGGGTCTGCAGTTGTCTGGGGAGGATGACAGGTATCGGGGATCTCGACTCCCCAGCAGCCTGGTTCTGCCTTCCTACCTCTCACCCCTGCCTTCCGGGCCCCGTTACAGCTCGGACCTCAGACACATGCGGATGACCCGGAGCGTGGACAATGTCCAGTTCCTGCCCTTTCTCGCCACGGATATCAAGTGAGAGGGCGACTACTGTGGCGGGAAAGGCTATCTGAGGGAGGTGGGGGAGGGATGAGGAGGAAGGTGGAAGAGGCCCCTTGGGTCCCCCTCCCACACTCAACCCCGCGGACGAATGTCTCTCCCCTCCACACTGTAGCAACCTGAGCTGGCTGAGTTACGGGGCCTTGAAAGGAGACGGGACCCTAATCATCGTCAACTCCGTGGGTGCTATGCTTCAGACCCTGTATATCTTGGTGTATCTACACTACTGCCCTCGGAAGGTAGAGACCCTCCCTTGGACCCACTTCTCCGCTGCACATCCTGCATTGCTGGCAGCACAGATGTTGCTTCCTAGAAGACTGTAATAGGCTGGCACTGCCACCTTTTCCTGGAAGGCGTCTCCAGCCTTGCAGTCCTCCTTCCTCCATGAAGCCAGCCTTCTGAGACTCCCACATCACCCCCCATTCTGGCAAACCTAGTAGCTCTGCCAAGCCTGATGCTGCCTAGTTGCCCAACAAGCTGAGGGGAAAGGGCCTTTGTCTCTGATAGTTCCTTCAGAGCCAGGGTCAGTGGCTGAGAATCAGATGATCAGCTCTGCTTCCCCATTCAATCACACAAGGATTTATTAAGCTACTGTGTGTACCAAGCTCAAAAAAACGGTATCTTTCCCTCCCCTAGAAACCTCCAGTGTTGTGGGTGGGTCAAACATATGATCAAGTCACTGGTGGGAGAGGCTGTGACAAGTGCAATACTGAAGGCTTAGACAAAGGTTGGCTCCCTCACTGGTGCATGGGAGAGGGCAGGATGAATTAATTCCAGCAGAGGAGTCAGAAAGGGTTCCTGGCACATCTAGAGGTAAGGCTATTCTCTCCCCTGCAGCGTGGCGTGCTCCTACAGACTGCAACCCTGCTGGGGGTCCTTCTCCTGGGTTTTGGCTACTTTTGGCTCCTGGTGGCTGACCCTGAGGCCAGGCTTCAGTCGCTGGGTCTCTTCTGCAGTGTCTTCACCATCAGTATGTACCTCTCACCACTGGCTGACTTGGTAAGTGGGGGTATCCAGGGAGGTGAGGGAGATAGGAAGGGTCAGGCTCCCATAGCCAGACTGTAGCTTACACTCCAGAGGAAGGGAAGAACCAAATCCCGGAAGGAGACAGGGCAGTAGACGTGGGTAAGTGGGAGGCAGGAGGGAAAGATTGGGTAACAGAAGATGAAGGAGGAAATTTTTTTCTGAGCAAATTCTTAGGCAAGGTGGGAGCTTTACTATGTGTCTGGGCTAGGAGTATCGTTCATCCTTTCCCACAGGCCAAGGTCATTAAGACTAAATCAACCCAAAGTTTCTCCCTCTCACTCACCATTGCCACCTTCCTCGCCTCTGCCTCCTGGACCCTCTATGGCTTTCGACTCAAAGATCCCTACATCATGGTAAGCAGGACAGGGATGGGGTGACAGGTGTGCAACGTGGAAAATCAGCTCCTCTCCTCATAACAGCCCTTGTGATTTCAGGTGCCCAACTTTCCAGGAATCGTCACCAGCTTCATTCGCCTCTGGCTTTTCTGGAAGTACTCCCACAAGCAAGACAGGAACTCTCAGCTCCTACAAACCTGAGGCAGTTCACATGACCACTGGCCACCTCAAGGCCAACCTGTTACCAAAGAGAGCTCGTTTCAGCTGTTCCTGCTGACCAGATCCACGGGTGCAACGGGTTTGGGGAAAGAAAGAGACAACTTTGAGAATCGAGGGACCAAAGAAAGAGCTTTACTTAGAAGATATGGGTGGGACTTGAGAGATGAATCACTTTTATTTTTTCAAGATTATATTTTTTAATTTTGGAGGTTGGGGTGAAATCTTTAGAATGTGCCTTAAAATAAACTGTTTCCTACCCGTGCCCATTAAGGCTCATTCTCTATTCAGTGATTCTAAACCTGCCTGGTTTGGTGAAGGGTAGAGGTGCACTGCCCGATCCAGTTACTCTGGGGCTGAGAGGGTTGGGTCAGAAAACATTTCAGCAAGAAGTTGGAAAGACCTAGGAAGGCCTTAAAAAGAAGAGAGCTTGAATGTTATGAAGAATGGAAGTTAGGCTTCAAGAAGTACTTCCCAACAAGGTTAAAAAGGACCAGGAAAGTGAAATGCCATTTCCATCCTGAGAGATCTTGAGAAGGGGACTTAGCCTCCTTTGGAGCAAAAAGGAGGACCACCAGCAGAGTGCAAAGATAAAGGCTGAGACAGCCTCAGGAAGGTGGCTCCTCTACCTCTCACTCGCACACAGAAGCCCCAATTCCCATTCTCCATACTCAAACCAAAGTTAGAAAATAAACTTGCTCTTTAATGGGGGATGGGAGAGCGGATTGTCCTGGCGAGAATGGGGTTAGGGTGTCAGAAGCGCATCCCCCTGCGGGCCAAGTCAGCTCGGGCCTCCTGGATCTGGCCCTGCAGCTCGCGGGCGGCGTCCTCGCAGTCGTGAAAAGTGGCCACGCGATAGCCCACAGTGCCCAGGGCGTAGCAGCCAGCGGACACCAGCAAGTAGGCGGGCAGTGGCCACAGGACCTCCTGGCATGACGAGGGCAGCTCCAGGCCCAGGGCTCCCATGGTCAAGGCCGCCCAGGTGGAGCCCAGGAGCGCCAGTCCCCAAAGCCACTGTCCTAATTTCGTCATGGTCACTGCGGGAAGAGAAAGCAGAGCTCGAGGTTCCTTCCACCTCTCTACCCCCGCTTCATTTGAGACCCACTCCCTGTCCTTCTCCCTCACCCACCCCCATGTCACCTACCCTCGATGCCATTCCGCCATCGCAGGCACGCTCCCCACCCTCTCGGTTCAGCCCTCAACCTACATTTACCTGTTTGCCGCGCGTCTCCCTTTCTTCTCTCCGCTCCGACGTCAGCGTCCGGAAGTCCTCTACGGCTCGCGCTCCGCCTCCGCGAGGGCTTCTGGGAGTTGTAGTCCTCTTGGCGGTGCCTGGAAGACTCGCGCTCGCTCTCTTTATCTAGGCTGGCTTCAGCGGGCTCTGTACCGCAAACCTCGGCGTGCGTCCCCACGGGCTTCGGTACTGCTTCTCTCCCCCAGGGCCCCGCTCCAAGCTGGCATGGGGCTTGAGGACACCCTCAAACCTTGCAACATTGGAACAAGGTGCGAATGTAATATTGTTCCCCTTAAACTCACTTCTGCACAGAAATCCCATTCATTCATTCACTTCTCTTTTATTATTTTATAATAATTCTTTTATATTCTTTATAATAATTCTTTATAATATTCTATATATATTATATTTATAAAGAATATAATATAATTCTTTATAATAATTCTCAATATTCTTTTATAATAATAATTCTTTTTATTCTTCTTTTATTCTTTTACTCGAATGTTTCTTGAGTGCCCTGATAGACTTTGGAGAAGGAGAGATGTCAAGACACTCGGCCGCACCTGGGGTGGAGGGGTAAAGCAGGAGTCAGGAATGCAGATGCATTGACAACTAACCATGATGCCTCAAGATGGGTGTTAGAACAGAGGTTG